GGAGGGCCCCAGAAGCTCTGGGCCGCCAGGCCGTCGCTGCCGTCGCCGCCCCCGCGGGCGCCGCCGCTGCAGCCGTCGCCGCCGCCGCCGCCGTCGCTATGATCGTCGTGGTGGTCGTCGTCGTGGTCATGGTGGCGGTGGTGGTGGTGGTGGTGGTCGTCGTCTGTGGAAGTGAACGGACGATTGCACGTTCTGGGGCGTGTTTTGCTTTTCCGGGGCCTCCGGACTCTGGAAATTTGGGGCCTCCAGATCCTCCAGGAACCTCCTGGGGCTCTCCTGAAACTCCCATAGGCCCCCACGAGAGCTTTTGAGGATAGCCTGGGAGGGTCCGAAGGGGCGCCAAGGGAGCCCCTGGGGAGGCCCCAGAGCCCCAACAATTTAACACAAATTTGACACGCCGCCGTGCTTGACGAGGAAGCGGTTTGTGTTACATGTGTATGTTAAAGTGGGGGCTGTCTTGGGGCGTCTTGGGGGCCTCTAGGGCCGTCCTGGGGTTCCCATGGGCAATCTTAGGGCCCTCTTGGGCCGTTTTGGGGCGGTCTTGGGGGCCTCCTTCGCGAACGCAGAAAACCGATGGAATATCATTGGTTTTTGCCTCTTGCGCCAATCTGGGGAGCGCTCATGGAAACCTTTTGGGCCGTCTGGGGGCATCTCGGGACATACGGTTCCCCCAGGATTTCCAAGGGGCCCCCGGTTTTACAGACGTGCTGCAGCGGATTTCTGTGTGGATTTTTGCCCGGCGCGGCGAGCGAAAAACGACGTGAATTTCGCGTGTATTCCTTTTGGTCTTCATTCCTGGCCCAAACAAATCCGCAAGAAATGCACCTCGAAATCCGGTTCGAAATTCTCCAGGACACTCCGGGCACACCTTATCGTTTTCCGAATGAAATCCGCTCTGCGATGTTGGCGCGATGACAAGATCGCTCAAGATACCTGAGGGTAGGTCAAGATAACTTCCGACACACATCCGATAAGCCTCAAGCCGGCCTCAAGACGGTTTCAAGTGCCCTCCGAGCCCTCCAAGTTCCCCCCCCCAGAGGCCCAAAGCCATCCAACACCTAGGGGAAATCACGGTTTTTCTGCCGTCTCGTCGTTTCGCGCCCGATGGGCTCTTCAGGCCTCAAGACGGGCCCAAGACGGCCCAAGAGAGCCCCAAGAGGCTCCCAAGAGGGCCCCAAGAGGCTCCCAATCACGCCCAAGAGCGCTCCCAGAGCGCCGCCAGAGGGCCCCAAGACGTCCTTTTTGAGCCTTCAAGGCGGGGTGGGGGTGGGTGGGGGGGAATTTGCCCCAAGCCATACCATGGGGCCCAAGAGGTCTCCCCGACCCCTCCAAGGAGCCCCAAGAGGGCCCCAAGGACCTCCAAACGGAGCCCCCCCTAGGGCCCCGCGAGTGCCCCAAGAGGCCCCGCAGGGGGCCCCGCAGAGAGCCCCTCTAAGATGGCCTGCGTCGTTTTGTTCGAGCACCTCCCACAGCAACAGACCTCCAAAGCCCGACCTCCCATCCTCCTTGTCATCGTCCGTGCCTTCCCTCCTCCTCCCTCCTCCTCCTCCTCCTCCTCCGCCTCCGCCTCCTCCTCCTCCTTTTCCTCGTGCCGCATGCCTCCTCCTCCTCCTCCTCCTCCTCCTCCACCTCTTCCCCCTCCTCCTCCTCCTCCTCCTCCTCCCCCTCCTCCTCCTGGTCCTCCTCTTCTTACCCCTCCTCCTCCTCCTTCTTTCTCTCTTTTCTCTTCCCCTCCTTCTCCTTCTCCTCCTCCTCATCATCATCATCCTCTTCCTCCTCCTACCCCAAGGTGGCCGCAGGAGGTCGAGCATGGCTCCAGATAGCCTCCGGCAGATCTCCAAGAAGCCTCAAGGCAGCCTCAAGAGTGTCCAAGATAGCTGAGCATGGCTCAGGATAGCTTCCGACAGTCTCTAGCTGAACATGGTTCAATCTAGCCCCCCCTAGCGGCCTCAAGAACGCCTCCGATCGTGTCTGGATGGGCTGGTGGCCGGTAGGGACTTTTTTGGGTCGCGGCCGCAAGCGAAGGCGCAGGCGGCGTCAGACGTCAGCCCGGGCTACGAGCGAAACCTAATTACCTAGCGCACGCACTAACGGCTGCCGGACTGCCGCCGAGGGACGCCGGGCGGCGCCGACTGGCAGGGACACTTTTTTTTGGTCGGCGGCCGCGCGACGACGGTCTGGCGGCAACAGGCGATGTCCGGGGCGGGCGGCACAAAGTGAATTGCACAGACTGGCAGGGATACGCGAAGCGCCACACTCTTTGCTGCTGGGGAGCAGGCATCGACGCGGTACGGGGGGCTCACGCTGCGCCTGCGGCCAGCCACTGGGCCAAACCACGATGAGCCCACGGGCGGCCACTCGGCGAAATCCCATCGGGCCCGCACCCGATGATTTGAGACGAGTGCGAGAACCCCAGGCGCAAGCACTGTTCGGGGAACGTGCCTCTCCGCAGTGCCTCCGGTGCTGATGCTCCTGCTCCTGCTGCTGCCCCTCCGCCCTCTGCCTCGCTGCCCCGTGCTCCCTGCCCCATCCTCCCTTGACTTTCTTCAGTCTGAGTCCAGAGTGCAGGGACCAAGCAGTACTCGTGTGCACTCAGAGTGCAACCCAGGCCTGGCGCTGTGATGTGGCGTTCGCCAGGAGTCTGGACCCCACGTCCCATCCACGCTGTTCTCTGGATGCTGACCGCAGCCGTGTATGTTTTGGGGGTCTTCACGGGCTTCCGCTCGCGAAGGCTTCCCCACCCTCCGTCGTGGCTGTCGGCATTTGTTCGCGTGCTGGCTTGCGCACTGCCGCCTTGCATCGCCTCCTCCGAGGACACAATGCAATGCGAACGAAGCTGCATGAGAACGCGACGCACTGGGACATCGCCTCGTCCTCCTTCTCCTCCTTCTCCTCCTCCTCCTTCTCCTCCTCCTCGTGGTCCTGGAGCAGGGTGGTGGCGCAGGAGCACGGCAGCAATGGTGGTGGTGGGGGGGGGGCGACGAGATCGGGCAGTGCCGGGGTCCAGCGGGGAGGATAGTGCACAAGTGGCAGGGAAAGAGGTGCTAGACGGACCACGGCTGCGGCGGGACCTTGTGTGCATCGATGCCGGTGAGCCGCTTCTTCTTCGCCTGCTCCTCCATGATGATGAACGGGTTCCCATACTCGTCCACGGCCTCCCCTTCTACTGTCTCCTCAGGTCGTGCCAACGTGAGCCAGGGGAGGAGCAGGAGGAGACCGAGACGTGAGAGGCGGTCCGATCCATCCGATGGGGAGGGCAGCGCGAGAGGTCTGCTGGAAAAAGGACCACGCCACGATCGAGCAGCGGAGCGGGGCACAAGACGCCCGACCGAATAGCGACGAGGACGGGGACGGGGACGAGGATGTGGACGAGGAAAACGACAAGGATGATGATGCTGCTGCTGCTGCTGATGATGATGATAATGCTGATGATGATGATGATGGCGATGGTGATGATGGTGGTGATGGAGATGATGGTGGTGATGAAGATGATGGTGATGATGATGATGATGATGGTGATGATGATTGTGGTGTTGATGCTGATGGTGATGATGGTGATGATGATGGTGATGCTGATGGTGACGATTGTGATGATGGTGATGGTGGTGGTGATGGTGATAATGATGCTAGTGACGATAATGGTGAAGATAATGGTGATGCTGATGGTGATGTTGATGGTGATGCTGATGTTGATTATGATGATAGTGGTGATGGTGGTGGTGGTGGTGATGATGGTGATGCTGATGTTGACGATGATGGCGATGACTGTGATGATGCTGGTGCTGATGACGGCGATGCAGATGGTCATGGTGACTATGGTGATGCTGATGGTGATGATGGTGAAGCTGATGGTGATGATGAAGATGATGATGGTAATCATGATGGTGGTGATGCTGATGGTCATGATGGTGATAACGATACTGGTGGTGATGCTGGTGGTCATGATGATGATGATGATGATGATGATGATGATGATGACAATAGTGATGATGATGACGATGGTGATGCTGTTGTTGATGATGATGATGGTGCTGATGATGATGGTGCTGATGATGATGATGATGATGGTGATCGTGATGACGATGATGATGACCATGCTGATGATGATGATGATGATGGTGATGGTGCTGATGATGACGCTGCTGGTGATGATGATGGTGATCATCAAGATCGCGGACGTCGTCGTCGTCGTCGACGCCGCCGCCGTCGTTCTCGTCGCCAACGTTGTCGTCGTCGTCGCAACGGACGTCGTCGTCGTCGTCGTCGTCGTCGTCGTCGTCGTCGTCGTCGTCGTCGTCCTCGTCGTCGTCCTCGTCGTCTTCGTCGTCGCTGCCGTCGCCGTTGCTCTTCCGCCCTCCCGCCGCCGCCGCCGCCGCGCCCCCCCTGCGCCCCGCCAGCTGGCCGCCGCCGAAGGTCCCCGCCATTGGGCCCGACGGCTGCCCAGGCGCGCGCGCGCGCTTCCGCCTGGCGGCCGCAACGGGTTTGGGTGGCCCAGAAGCCGACCAGCCACAACTGGGGGAGCTGTGGTCCTTACCCCCCTGGGGGAACCCATCGCATCGACGATCTCTCGAGAGGGGTGTCGAAATCGATGGGTCCCCCAGGGGGGTAAGGACCACAGCTCCCCCAGTTGTGGCTCCCCTGAGAAGGGGGCCCAGCTGAAGGGGGTGGGGCAATAGATCTGGGGCAATTGTGCTGCAACCGTACTGCGCCGGAGAGTTGCGCTGCACTGTCTTGCAAAGGAAGGCGTTGCACGCGGAAGTCCAGCAAGGCATCTGCGCCTCGGGGTGTCTTGCATGCCCCACATGTGTTGCGACTCCACAGATCTATTGCACCAAATCTATGGCACCACCCTTTGAGGTCAACCCGAACAGGGCCGGGTCGCCCAAAGGGGCGGGGGGGGGGCACTGCACGCGTCCAGGGGGGCTCTGGCTGCCCACGCCTTCGACGGGGCCCCCCGGCGAGTGCGTGTCAAGCCCGCCCCTGGGCTCTTCACCCCTCTT